CCCCAAAACCCCAAAACCCCAAAACCCCAAAACCCCAAATCTCAATTTAAAATTGAAAAACGCTAAATTATTTTCATTTACTTAAATCTATCTCTGAAAGCACTTACAGTCTCTAAAAGCCAGTCTGAATGCCTTTGCATAGGTTATGCAGAAGAGGATAGGGTACAGACACACCAGGTATAGGACTCCTAACGCAAAAGAGATTGGGAAGACACATACGAGCCAGTATAGGGAGAATAGTAAAGCTCGAATGCATTGTCATCTATCCTCTCAACAACAGTACCAGAGAGAAGGCAGCAATCAGATGTGAAACCATTCCCTGTCTCTTCCTCCTGGTGTCAGAAAGAGAAGCAAGGTGAGGTATGGTCTGAACAAGAGTATGAATGGTAGGATAAAGTGCAATTTCAGCAACATTCTTGTAATCAGTTGGCATTTGTTAGAGGAATTTGTAAATTGCATCCCTCCACATCCGAAGAGATTATCATTGTTGTAGTGATCATGCGTGTATTCTCTATTTTCAAATCCATCACCATTGGTGTCCTCAGATACAAGTCATGTGGTTTCATCCAAAGTTCTTCTCAGTTCTAATCTTTCATTTCGGGCACTTTGCTACTTTATTTTCCGAGATATAGTCAAGTAATTGATGCTCTAGTTGATCTTTACAACTTCCAGAGTGCCAAGGTGCTTGGCATACAAAGCAAAAGGTATGTCCGTTGTCTCAAGTAACTTTTCTATCAGAAATACTGCCCTGCACCCACAAGTCTCAGTTGGGTTCTGGGCACCATTGCCTACTTGCATCCAGATTTACTTCATAATTCTCTTTAAACTTGAGATACTTCTCTATTACTTCTTGATCTTGGATGATGGCTCTGATATCAGACTCGGTATAAAGCAGTTCTCATCCGTAGTACGCTCAGTTGATATTCTAGATAGAAAGGGTTATAGGCATATATGCAGGAATTCGCTAAATAATGCATCAAAAAAGCATGGAAATGACTTTCAGCAAATTTCGATGGTTAATCACTTTTTCTCTTTTAAGCAAATTATCTTTTACAGAGAATTAGTAACTTAGTAATGAGGCGTCTCTTACCGCAATTCTTCCTTCAGTAATATTGACTTGAAGCATATTGCTGAGGCATGGCTTTCAAAATTGATGCCCTCATCTTAAAGAAAACTGCTGGCTTTGAGGGTAGTCTGAATATCAAATATTTCAAGTAAAATGAGGCTCGTCACGATTTATAGATTGTTCACTTTCCTCTTCTTTGATATCTTCCTCAAGTTCGTCATGTATTGAGGGTAAAGAATGTAGTACTGGAGATTGGGAGAAGAATTCCTTATTTGATAATAGTTTTTCTATGCTCTTCTCTCGAGTCACCTCAGATAAGACATTTTTCAAAGGCATCATCACTGAAACTCTCCATACCCTCATCGATACTTCTCGGGTTAATGTCTGGAATGAAGGTGTGGGCCCATCCGTATTTGGTCTTGATCATGAGATCAATTGCTTTCTCAACTTCATCATTTATAATATCTTTATCATAGATAAGAACTTTTTTGACCAAATCAGGGCTGAACCCCATTCCGTTCACTAACTGGCTGTAGAGATAGAGATTATATGTCAAATCACTATCTTTCGGCTTGCTTCCAAACTCCATGTCATCGCTTTGGTGCTCATATTTCCTCAGGAAATATTTTGAAGATTGGTCTATAGTAAACGCTAAACAAGGTACATGAATTTCCTAGGGCTCCTGGGTAAAACTTCCTGACCCATTCTGCTTTTGAAGACGATCTTTGAAGCAAAGAATCTGCTATATCTCTTCATGAGTCATTATGCATATATTGAACCATTGAGCTACAGGTATGGGATTTATTTTCTTCTTTCAGTAACCATCCTGTCTTTGGGGTTTAGTTTCCAACTAATTCCTTGGTTATGGATCTATATCCTCAATGAGGGGGCTACTAGAGTACTTACGAGTGAGTCTACCTGGTCAATCTCTTCTTTAGACACCTCTTGCGTCTCATTTAGGTCAGTTTTAAGCGGAATTTTTAATGAGTTGTATCCAGATAAGCGCCTTGGAGCCTTCTTCATTTTTTACTTTCTATTATTTATTATTTAGATGGGGTTTTGGGGTTTTGGGGTTTTGGGGTTTTGGGGTTTTGGGG